AGCAATTCTCCTGCCTCAGTCTCCTGAGTAGCTGGGATTACAGGTGTGCAGCACCACACTCAGCTAATTTTTTGTATTTTTAGTAGAGATGGGGTTTCACCATGTTAGGCAGACTGGTCTCCAACTCCTGACCTCCGGTGAGGCACCCGCCTCAGTCTCCCAAATTGCTGGGATTACAGGCGTGAACCACTGCGCCCGGCCTTGGCCAAATATTCAAGGTGCCATTCCACCATCGTATATGTTTGGCTGCTTCTGGATGATGAGGTAAATGGAAAGACCAGTAAATCACACAGAAATTAACCTATTACCTTACTTGTCTCACACTACCTTACAATAAAATGAGTTTCTTGATAAGATACAGTACGGTCTTCCATCAGTATCTCTGGGGGATTGGTTCCAGGACCCCCTCCCCTAGGATACCAAAATCCGTGGATGCACAAGTCCCTTATGTAAAATGGTGTGGTATTTGTATGTATTTTATGCACACCCTCCTGTGTACTTTAAATAATCTCTGGATTACTTGTAATACCTAATATAATGTAAATATTATCCAAATAGTTGTTATACTGTATTGTTTTTTGTTTGCATTTTTTATTGTTGTATTGTTATTTTTATTGTTTTTTTCTGAATTATTTTGATCTGCAGTTGGTTGAATCGGTAGATGTGGAGCCTGCAAATATCAAGGGCCAACTGTACTGAATGTACTATCTTGCTGGCATGCACACTATTGGGTGATGCTGGCAGAAGCATGATAGGCAGGAAAAGCAAATCTAATGCAGTGTCCATTACAGTAAAGATCATCTGCTGTCCTCTCAAAGTATGGTACCATTTCAGCCTCTTGCTACTGCTGGCAAATTAGGCACTCAGCCAGGTAAACCTTAGTAAGAGGAAGAGCATGGTGTTGAGCCCATAATTATGGTTGTTCACCTAATTATAAAATGCTTCCTCTGAAGAAAATAGAAGATACCATGGCTTGGCTGACAAATTACCCTTAAGGAAAAGTGAGAGATCCAAGGGAGCTCCTAAAAGATAATTGATGGGGAAAAGGGGGGAACTTAACTGGGCTCAATAAGCCCTGGTTTAACATGAAAGTATTAAGATTCGGAGAATTTTAAATTACATATTGATATTTAATCTGTGAGGTTATTGCATTTCTCTTTTGGGAAGAATGGAGTTTTTAGAAATTTCACTATCTAATAAAATTAAATGTGATTTTAATTTTAAAATGCGCCATCAGAAGTAGAAGCCTGCTGTCACCTGAATTGTGTTCCCCCCGTCCGCAACCCAAATTCATATATTGAAATCCTAACCCCAATGTGACTGGATTTTTAGGAGATAACTAAGGTTAAATGAGGTCATAAGGGTCCGACCCTAAGTCAATAGGACTGTGGCCTAATAAGTGTAAGAGAATATAAGAAAGAGAGAGAGAGGCCAGGCGTGGTGGCTCATGCTTGTAGTCCCAGCACTTTGGGAGGCTGAGGCAGGTAGATCACCTGAGGTCAGGAGTTCCAGACCAGCCCGGCCAACATGGTGAAACCCTGTCTCTACCAAAAATACAAAAATTAGCGGGGTGTGGTGGCCCACACCTGTAATCCCAGCCACTCGGGAAGCTGAGGCAAGAGAATCACTTGAACCCCTGAGGTGAAGGTTGCAGTGAGCCAAGATTGTGCTACTGCACTCCAGTCTGGGTAACTGGAGTTACCCAGAGGGAGACTCTGTCTCAAAAAAAAAAAAAAAAAAAAAAAAAAGAGAGATCTGCCATGTGAGAACAGAGCCAGAAGGTGGTTGTCTGCAAAGCCAGGAAAAGGGCCTCAGCAGGAACTGAATTGACCCCCACCTTGATCTTGGACTGTCCAGCCTCCAGAACTGTGAGAAATAAACTTCTGTTGTTTAAGCCACCCAGTCTATGGAATTTTGTTATGGAAGTCCAAGCTGACTAATACGGGGCCTTTTGTAAGCATTTACATAAGACACAAATACTCCCCACATCTGGACTCACTCTGAATGGTCCATCTAATTCATTTCCCCTAAACTCCTTGTGCTAATCCTGTAATCTTGTTCCTTCCAAGTCTCTAACCATACAGCGAAATCACTAGCCACTTTCAACATATTTCTCTTTCCTTGAGGCACAGTAACCCTTGGTGGAAGGCTGGAAGGTAGAATCACTGTACATATTGGTATTGTTATGAAGGACACTTCCTCAAAGGTACTCAGTCTCCCTGCATTCAAAGGGATTAGTGATTCGATTGCTAGGTGGCCAAGACTTTTTCAGGCCTGAATTACAGGGGAAAGAGGGCGAGGAAGACAAAGAAAGTAAAAAAAAGGAGAGGAACAGGAGGAGGAAAAAGAAGGAGAGAGGGAGGAAGGGAAGGAAAAAAAAAGAAGGAAGGGAAGGACCTCTAAACATATAGTAAAGCCCAGGGCTGTGTATACATGACCCATATAGACAAATAATGGCAAATGTTAGGCAATTTGAGCATCAAAGTAAATAATGACGGTGTTGTAATCCCAGCTTTTGGAGGTCAAGGCAGGAGAATCACGTGAGGCCAAGAATTTGAGACCAGCCTGGGCAACATAGCAAGACCCCATCTCTATTAAAAAAATATTTTTTAATTACCCAGGCATGGTGGCGCATGCCTACAGTCCTAGCTACTCAGGCGGCTGAGGCTGGAGGATTGCTTGAGCTCAGGAGCTTGTGGCTGCAGCCAGCTATGATTGCACCACTGCACCCCAGCCTGGGTGACAGAGTGAGACTCTGTCTCAAATATTTTAAAATGATGCTATTATGGGCCGGGTGCGGTGGCTCAAGCCTGTAATCCCAGCACTTTGGGAGGCCGAGACGGGCGGATCACAAGGTCAGGAGATCGAGACCATCCTGGCTAACACGGCGAAACCCCGTCTCTACTAAAAACACAAAAAATTAGCCGGGCGAGGTGGCGGCGCCTGTAAACTCCCAGCTACTCGGGAGGCTGAGGCAGGAGAATGGCGGGAACCCGGGAGGCGGAGCTTGCAGTGAGCTGAGATCCGGCCACTGCACTCCAGCCTGGGCGACAGAGCGAGACTCCGTCTAAAAAAAAAAAAAAAAAAAAAAAAAAAATGATGCTATTATGGACTGAATTGTCTCCTGGGACACTTATATGCTGAAATCCTAACCCCCAGAACCTATGAATGTGACTGTACGGTATTTGGAAATACAGCCTTTGATTGGGTGATTAAGGTAAAATGAGGTTATATGGGCCCTAATCCAATATGACTGGTGTCCTTATAAGAGGGGGAGATTAGGACACAGACAAGCACAAGGGGAAGATTAAGTGAAGACATGGAGAAGGTGGCCATCTACCAGCCAAGAAGAGAAGCCCTCAGAAGAAACCAGTTCTGCTGACATCTTGATCTTTGACTTCTAATCTCAAGAACTATGAGGAAATACATGTCTGCACTTCCAGCCATCCAGTCTGTGGTACTTTGTTATAGCACCCCTAGCAAACTATTACAGATGGTAACATACTACAGTGGATAGTGTGAGACTTCAAGAGTACTCACTGATGTAAGTGAATAAATGGGGGAAAGGAAAAGCACTTCCTTACTTCATAGTAGAATGGCAGCTAATCAATATAGAAGAAATAATGTAATTAGAAAATCACAGGCAGTGTCTCATGCCTGTAATCCCAGCACTTTGGGGAGGCAGAGGGAGGAGGATCCCCTGAGGCAAAGAGTTCAAGACCAGCCTGGGCAACATGGCAACATACCCATCTCTACAAAAAAAAAATTTTTTTGGATGGAATCTTGCTCCATCATCCAGGCTGAAGAGCAGGTTTGTCACTGCAAACTCCACCTCCTAGATTCAAGAGATTCTCCTGCCTCAGCCTCCCAATAGCTGGGATTACAGGTGTGTGCCACCAAGCCCAGTACTTTTTGTATTTTTAGTAGAGATGGGGTTTCGCCATGCTGGCCAGGCTGGTCTCAAACTCCCGACCTCAGGTGATCTGCCTGCGTCAGCCTCCCAAAGTGCTGGGATTACAGGCATGAGCCACTGCGCCCGGCCTCTCTCTCTATCTCTTTAAAAAAAGGCCCGGCCGGGCATGGTGCTCATGCCTGTAATCCCAGCACTTTGGGAGGCTGACGCAGGCAGATCACCTGAGGTCAGGAGTTTGAGACCAGCCTAACCAACATGGAGAAACCCCATCTCTCCTAAAAAATACAAAAAATAGCCAGACGTGGTGGCGCATGCCTGTAATCCCAGCTACTCAGGAGGCTGAAGCAGGGAGAGTTGCTTGAACCAGGGAGGTGGAGGTTGCAGTGAGCTGAGATCTTGCCACTACACTCCAGCCTTGGCGACACAGTGAGATTCAGTCTCCGGAAAAAAAAAAAAAAAAAAAAAAAAGGCCACGTGCAGTGGCTCACGCTTGTAATCCCAACACTTTGAGAGGCCGAAGCGGGTGGATCACCTGAGGTCAGGAGTTCGAAACCAGCCTGACCAATATGGTGAAACCCTGTCCCTACTAAAATTACAAAAATTAGCTGGGAGCGGTGGCAGGCGCCTATAATCCTAGTTGTTCAGAGGCTGAGGCTGGAGAATCGCTTGATCCTGGGAGGCAGAGGTTGCAGTGAGCCGAGATTGTGCCACTGCACTCCAGCCTAGGCAACAGAAAGAGACTCGGTTTCAGGAAAAAAAAAAAAAAAAAAAAGTCTGTTCTCTTAATAAATATCAAAGTCATGAACGACAAAGCAAGACAGGAGGAACCACTTCAGATTAAAGCAAACTAAAGAGAGACACAACTAAATGCAACGTGCAGTCCTGGATTGGACATTTGGCAACAATGAAACATGGAGGGTGGATTAAACCGTACTGTACCAAAGTTAAACTTTCTTGTGGTAATTGTAGTTATGTAAGAAAATAAGACTGTCATCGTACATCTAGTCCACCAATCAATAGCCCCTAGTCCCAAGGCTGCCTCCCGTCCCTGGCTATTCAGTGATGAGTCAGATGATACCTCCCAGCGCTTCGCCCTCGCCCCCTGACATCCTCTCTATCCCTGCTTTAGGGGTTTTTCCTCTCTGACTGTGCCATACCCTCCACCGTCTCCCCTCCTGCCTCCTGGGATCCACTTGTCCCTGCCCTCCTCTGCGTCCTGGCCCTCCCGCTCTCTTCCGCTCTGCCCTCCCTGGCTCCTTCCACCTCCTGCCAGCTACCTTTCTCCTCCAGGTGCGCACCCCTACGCCTAGCTCCGCTGCGCGCTTGCGCTCTACGCCCAAGGGAGCCGGGCTGCAGAGCTGGAGAAACTTCCGCGGCTACAGGTGCGGTTGCCTTCGGATCCCGGCTCCGGGCTGACACCCGCGCGGGGCTGAGACAGGTGTCTGCGCTCCCCGAGATGGGCTGCTCCAGCAGCGCTCTCAACAAGGCCGGCGACAGCAGCAGGTTCCCTAGCGGTGAGCAGGGGACTGGCGCCGCCGGCGTCCGGGCTGGGGACTCGGGTGGGCTAACTCCCCGGGAGGTCCAAAGGGTGTGCCCCGTGCCCACCCCGGCTGGCAGGAGCCAGGCCTCGCCCCGGAGGATGCCAGCAGAACCCGGGACAGAGCGCGATTTCCTCCCGAATCTGGAGCGGCGCTGCTGTGACCGCGGGTGCGGTGGCCCTGGTGCGCTCCGCAGCGCTCGCTGCCTGAGGCCGGGCGCTGGACTCACCCTGTCCGCTGATGGGATCTCGGGGAATTGGTGTTGAAGCCCTAAGGCGGTTAGCCTCGGCATTGCCTTAAACACAGGAGAAATGTCCTATCAAGGCCTTCTCCCAAGGCTGGGGATCGTGACTGACGCCTGCAATCTCAGCACTTTGGGAGGCTGAGGCGGGGCGATCGCTTGAGACCAGAAGTTCGAGAACAACTTGGGTAACAAAGCGAGATCTTCCACTCCCCCATCTCTACTAAAACAACACCAAAAACCACTTTTCCCCATTTACGCCTCCCATTAGCGTTTCAGCATCAAAGATGGCAAAAGATGCGGAGAATCCAGAGGAGCATTCACTCCATCAAATGGGTTCCTGCACTCTGAATAGGTCAGACACACTTTCCCCTATCTTTGACTTAAGTATCCATTGAGAAGTATGTGTGATCAAAAGTGGTCATCACTGACTCTTGCTGAAGAAACTCAACAAGGACGTTTTGTACATGTACTATATAATACCCCAGTGCTTGGCTAGATGCTGGAGATACAAGTGGAGATTGTTTGTGGAGATTGAGGGTGGAGGAGACCGACAAGAAACACGTGAAACAATTGGCTAAGATCGTTTCTGACAGTGATAAGTACTGTGAAAAGCATACACGCAGATACATGAATTAGAGAATGGGTTTTACAGCCGACTCACTTTTCTTAGATTTTGAATGTCTAACATTTTGGACAATGTTATGGAGGTTAAGCAAACTCAGTCAAGCTAGTTTACAGTCTTCTGCAAGGCGAACTTTAGCAGGGATTTTGTACTGGAGTGAATTCCTTTTCACAGATCTTCTCTTAGCACCTTGTGTTATTGCAGTAACAGAAAAGTCTTCCTCTCTGATGTTGTTGGTAGAGCGCACCAGATGGTCATGAATGCTTTTCAAAGCTCAGCCACTGTGTCCTAGTCAGGAAATACGTTGTGTTTCTATTATTTTTGTGGTGTGTGGTAGTTTATTTCTAGTTTCCATAGATAACAGAAAGCAATGACAAGTCAGGAAGTAAACAAAAAATTAAAAACATTATAAAAGTGATTCCAAACCCCTTTTCACAGACAACAATGTGAAAAGATGGAAAAATTCATTTATAATGCACATTGCTCACTAACTTTTCTCCTAAAGAGCCCAGAGCTTCCATACCCCCAACGAGATGCCAGAGCAAGCTGTTTCTCCAACGTTTCATGTTTTATGTTATGAAATTAAGTAGAGTTTCACATTCTGTCTCTGATAAATTTTTGTGGGTTTCAATATGAAAAGCCGAGGGAAAATGGATGCTTCAGGAAGATACATTTTATTATTCTGACTTCTCTTAACCCCTGCTGTGCTTCAGTTATCCTAGGAGGAGCATCCTGGTTTCACAAGCAGAGTACTGACTCACCATTACATAGTTCTAAACTGATTAAAACATGTATTTCAGGGAATGTAACTCTCGGGGCAAAAGTATTCAGTAGGTGTAATGCAGTTTTTAATCCTTTCAGAAAATAATGAATAACTTTATCTTAAAAAATATTTTATCATCAGTATTGATAACTATTCCACTTGAGTTATACTCTTCCATTTTTTATTCTAGAACTCATTGCTGTTCTGAGTTTTCACAGATGTTGTTATGGAAGAGGTGTTAAAATGCCTGACAACCAGTTCTAGCCTTTAGAAAATTAACCTAATATGCTGCATAAATTGCTCAACACACACGTTGAATCAATCAACAGGTCTATTTGCTTCTGACCCTCGATCAAACAATACTCTCTTGTAATTAGATACTATTCTGTGTTCGTCAACATTTCAACTTCATGATCTTAGGCCCAATAAATAATTCATTCCTGTTTCTGCAGCTTTAAACTTCTTTAAATCCTAGGTACAACCCCAAGCTTGAGTGTACATACTTTTAGACAAAAACAGTCCAAGTTTATTACGTGTCTGGTACATGCATTTATTCACTGTACTCTCAGTGCCTAACAATGTTCAGCATATAATAGGTCTTCAGTAATGATTTGTTGAATGAATTACTTCATTTAATCCTTATAACAATGTTATGACTAAATATTATGGTTGTCCTGTTTTTACAGATAAGAGTAAATAATTTATCTAAGGTCACAGGGCTCCTAAGAATCAGAGCTGGTGCTTTGAACTCATATGCTTTGCTGGGCACAGAGGCTCATGCCTATAATTCCAGTGGCTCTGGAGGCTGATGGGAGAGGATTGCTTGAGGCCAGGAGTTCAAGACCAGCCTGGGAAACATAGTAAGACCCTGTATCTAAAATTTTTTTTTTTTAATTGACACGTGTATTTCAGGGAATGTAACTCTTGGTGGTACAGACTGGAAGTCCCAGCTACTCAGGAGGCTGAGGTGAGAGGATTGCTTAAGCCCAGGAGTTCAAGGCTGCAGTGAACTATGATTGGGCCACTGCACTTCAGTCTGGGCAACAGAGTGAGACTCAATTAAAAAAAAAAAATGAACCTATATGTTTAAACCAGCTTCTGCTAATGAGATGTAAATCTGTTTTTGCCTCGGATCACTCTGGATCCCCATTAGGTGTGTGGTCATCCACTATAAAAACAGTGAAATCAATACAATAAACACATTATACTATATATCTTTTTTTTTTTTTCTTAGATGGCGTTTTTTAGATGGAGCCTCTGCCTCCCAGGTTCAAGCAATTCTACTGCCTCAGCCTCCCAAGTAGCTGGGATTACAGGCATGCGCCACCACACCCGGCTAATTTTGTATTTTTAGTAGAGATAGGGTTTCTCCATGTTGGTGGAACTCCCGCCCTCAGGTGATCCACTCGTCTCAGCCTTCCAAAGTACTGGGATTAAAGGCGTGAGCCACTCTGCCCAGCCTATACTATATATATTATTTAGGGATAGAATAATCCCTTATTATGATTCTAAATATTAGTCTAATCCCTAAATAAGATACATACTATAATGTGTTATACAAATATTATATATTTATTTTACTTTTTATTAAAAAAATTGAGACAGGGTCTTGCTATGTTGCCCAGGCTGGTCTTGAACTTCTGAGCTCAAGTGATCCTCCCACCTTGGCCTCCCAAAGTGCTGGAATTACAGGTATGAGCCACTGTGCCCAGCCTTTGTTATAAATTTAAAGCAGACAGTAGCTACTAGTAGACAGACATTAGGTTGCACAGGAATAATCTATTCTACTGATTATGTGGGGATATTTGCCCTGACTCAGTAGACACTGAATCTCACAGAGCTTCTTCCTATTGCCTCCCAAGATGACTGACCAGATAGGTGTTGGGGAGAACAGAATTGGAGACTCTGATTGTAAACAATTATCCAGTGCTCCTCAAAGTGTAGAACAGTGCCTAATATGTGGTAGTCACACATCGATTTTTATGACGTGCCCTGAAATGTGTGAGGAAAGAGATTTTCTTTCCAAAGGATAATCAGACAGATTAAGTTTGGAATTTCTTGTGTTTGTGGAAGCAAGTTTTAAATATTAGGACAATTGCTGTTCTTTTGAGTGTCCTGAGGATCTGATGCAATCTGAACACAAAGGTTTTATTGACTCCACAGACTTTAATGTGCCCGAAGGTGTCTAGACGTTCACATCCAAACCCTCCTCCCAGTGTTCCTAGCCCTCTGCTAACATGGATAATCACTGCTCAATTCTTTCCTAATATAAATGCGATCTGTTTTGGCAGACTTCTTTCCAAGGTGTTACAGCCCAAGCACCAAACATGGACAAAGTCAATAGGTGGTAATTATTGACAAGTTCATTGCTAGGTTAATGTGTACATTTCCACTGACAGCTATAATCATTTGTTTGTTCTAACCTGAACTTTCACTAGCTGCTTGCTGTCCATGCTGCCTAGGCAATCAGATGAAGCTTGAATTTCACACAGTTATGTGAATTGTTCTTTGTACTGCGGTCATACCTTCAGTTTTCACCCAATATTTCACACTGTGACATCTAGTTAGGTCATCTGGTCCTAACTGCATGAAAGTTTTCCTTTTGAATTGAAGAAGAAACTTCATTAACATTAAACTTAATTTGTACAGGCTTTTCTTGCATATAGAAATTATATAAATTTTTTTTCTTTCAAATGTGTGCCTTTGTGTCATTTCTGGAGCCTGGCACATAAATAGCATTTGGTATGTCTTTGTGGTAGGCCTGGTGATTGCATACAGCTAATTGAAATGGAATAAAAAAACTACATACATGGTTCAAAAATGTGAAAATATTTGGAAAAGTCAGGCCTGAAAAGTACACCTTCCACCCCATCCTCATCATCTATTTAGTTCGAATCATACACATGAATAAACACTTATTATTTTAGGGGTTTTTTGGATATATTCTTTCAAAGTTTCTTTATGCATTACAAATATTATTTCCTTCTCTCATCTTTATTTATAAATGTAGTGTACTATACCCACTGTTCCTCACTTTGTTTTTTTCACCTAAAATATGGAGATTTTTCCATGTTGATATATAGAGAACTTCTTTCTCCTTGTTTATACCTGCATAATAATTTCTTCCTTGATTTATTTAACCAGTCCCCTATTGAGGGACATTTGATTTGTTTACAGTCGTTTCCTGTTGCAGACAAGACTGCCATGAATTCCTTTGTGCCTACATCATTTTGAATGTGTGCAAGTATATCTGTAGGACAGTTTCCCAGGAGTGGCATTACTAGGTCAAAATACGCACTGATAATTTTGATAGATAACTGCCTAAATGTGTTCTGTAAGAATTGAAG